ATCCAGACGCACTCTTTTTTTTTTTTTTGTTTGCGCAGGGAGGACACACTTCAGTCTGGAGTGTCTGGTCCGAGCGGCTCTGAGCGACTGGAGGAGCGTCTCCCTAATTAGAGGGGAGCCTGGCGCGGGACGTCTCTATAGGCCGCGGACGGGGTCCTCGCCGGCTTTGTTCGGCAGCCTCCTCTCACACTGAAGCTGTCACTTTACTTTTCTATAGGAGAGAGGGCCGCGCTGCACAACACTGTTGTCTGCTCCCAATCACACCAACCGTTTTCAAGGACAGAGCTGCGACACAACAATCACTGAAAGAGACGTTTACTGCTCTGTTTCTGCAACTGAGGTTTAAACTTTCAGTCCTAACACCAAGCATCTGTAAGGAAACATCAGGCTTGACTTAAACATTGCTTTCCTTTGTTAAACAAAATCTAACAAAATATAATATAAATATAAATGCACTGAATTGTTATTTATTTTTAGAATAATAAATTGTGACTTTGTTAAAAAACCTCAAAAGTAAGAAGGAGTTACAAGTTTCAAACCTTAATGCAGCAACAAATTTGTCAAAACTTAAATTAAAATTCAAGTAAATAATGTATATTATAATGTATAAAGAGAATTGAATAGATCGGCCACACTGTCAGCGATATTTGATCCAGATATTTGAGTCTGTATCATCCCGATATCCCGTATAGAGGTGGAGCCCCTCCTCTTCCAGTGTCCCTTACTTCAGAATAAAATATGTAAAGTAGTCAACGGCAAGAATCAAATATTGTTTGGATCCCGTTTGAATTATGCCATGAATTACAAACATGATTTTTGTTAATTTAAAAGATCTTTTTGCATGTGTCATGTCAAGAAAGTTTCAGTTTTGAATCATAGTTTGTAGTATAATTAGTTTTTGTGTTAAACTGATCGGTGAACTACATCTCTCGTCACGATGATAACTCGGCTACCTCGGGCTGGTCTCATCCAGCGTTGGTAGCTATACCTACAAAAAACGATGCGCCATAATTACACTCAAAGAGACATCTGTTCATTCCCCTGTGTGAAACGAGAAGTCAACGTTGATTTATTCGTCATGTAACTTCCTCAGTACCTCAGTAACAGCACTTCCGTAGTTATTAGCGATGACCTTTTCCTGAACCTAACTAAGTAGTGTTATTGCCTAAACCTAACTGGGTAGTTTCCTGTGATGACGGCGATTTATTTTGAAAAGACTGTATTAATGTAACGAGCAGGCGGCAACCTCCGTTTCTGACAAGTGAAGCCGATGCTGAAGTGTCTTAAAACCTGCATTCTCTCTAGTGTCCACCAGGGGGCGACTCCTCTGGTTGTATAGAAGTCTATGAGAAAATGACTCTACTTCTCTCTTGATTTATTACCTCAGTAAACATTGTAAACATGAGTTTATGGTCTCAATCTCTAGTTTCAAGTCTTCTTCAATACAGCATGATGTTCATTTAGTACATTATGGTCCATTTAGAGTCAAACAGACCATAAAGCAGGGGATGCTTTAGGGCGGGGCTACTATGCTTCAAAACATCAGTCCACAAACAAATGAATGACGTCATCATGATACGTCCACTTCTTATAAACAGTCTATGGTGACGACACGTGTTGCTGGACTTTCGGAGGCAAAAAAACGCAGGAAAAATAACTAGTAACTTTTTGTAAGATATCATACGAACCATTGAATGAAGATACCCTGACTAGCTAGCTAGCTAACGTAGCTACGTTCCACGCACAAATGTAACGTATTCTTACCCGATGTGTTTTCATCCAGCGACTCATTTTATCAGACAAAAAGAGAAAGAACGAGTGAGACGTTGTTGAGAACATCCTGTTACTAAACACATTGTAGCTTCAGAGAGACGACACTTACAAGACGTCGTCTTTCTAATTACATATTTTTATAGTTTTACAACAAATGCCTTTCTTGACGTGCAAAATGATCTTAATAGTTTTATGGATCAAATTGCAACGGGATAATAAATTATTCATCTCTCACCGTTGTACCACCGAACATATTTCTTCTTAAATAAGGTCCCATGGCGGTCCACCGGAAGGGGCGGGACTTCTCCTCTCCATTAACTTCCTGCTGCGAGACATTAAAAGGGACGGCTTTCCTTTGTTTCTCTCGCCGAGTTGTCACGGTGTCTTAAACTGTAATTATTTCCAACTCATTTTTGCATAGAAACCTAATTATTCACTGAGATATAAATTAGATTTCACATTCACGGAGGCCGCGGAGCCCCCTAAACTCCTGCTGCAGGGACGCCATTCACCGGCCAGCCTCTTTCTCTGCGGACCGCGAGATGGAGAGCGGTCACTGCAGCTGCTATTCACATCAAGCAGATAATTGTTAATGAAAAGTCATTGCGTGGCATTATGTTGTCCACAGGATCATTGTTCATTTCCCCCCTTCATCGCCATTGAGATCTATACGGCGGACCAGAGTGTTTCCCCTTTGAGTTTTGGTATTCAGGATCTGTTGCCTGGTAACAGATAAAGGGGCAAATCATCCACTGTATTGGCCAAAGATGGGCCGCAGACTGGCCCCAGTGCAACAATGCCAGGTTTGTAAAAAGGCGTTGAAACAAGTTAATGACGCTTGTTCAACAAAACATTAATGGACTTCTTCACGGTATAATATGGCATGGGATGCGACGTGAATGAGAGGGGGGGGGAACTTCAGCGGTGCACTTTTACAAGTTTGTGTGTTTTTTACTACTGGGAGGAGCTTGATACACACACACACACACACACACACACACACACACACACACACACACA